GAGCCATATCCCCAGCCCTAGTTTTTATTTTATTTAGAGACAGGGTCTCACTGAGTCTTAGTACCTTGCCATTGCTAAGGCTGGCTTTGAACTTGAAATTCTTCTGTTTCAGCCTCCGAAGCCCCTGGGATTACAGGCACAAACCACTATCCCGGAAAAAATGTACTTTTTGACAACATTTTAAGTTTACATGTAAAATAAGATTTTATGTTTTCTTTTAAAATATTCTACTTTTACTATTTTCAATCTGACAACTTTATGAACAATAAGAATTAAAACTTAAATATATGCCCTTACCCTGTCATTTTTTATTTTTTTCATTTACTTTTTGGTACATAATAGTGGGCTTCGTTATGCCATATTCAACCACGCACATAACTTCATCAACCTCTTTTCCTGTACCTCCCCTTCCTCTCTTCCTACTCTGATCCACTTGCTCTGATCTGTATATTATTTTTCCCTTTTTATGAATAAGGTGAAGGAGCTTAGGGAGTTCATAATGGTTAAATAACTTGCCCAAGGTCAAGGATGGTGAGTGGTGGGGGCAGAATTCCAATCTAATCCCCCCACCCCCACCCCAGTGTTAGGGATTGAACTCTGGGCCTCCTGCCTGCTAGGTAAGTGCTGTATCACTGAGCTACAATCTCCAGCCTCCAATCCAGAATATTCTTAACCACTCTGCTCTGCTTCACTTCTCTTGACTTAAAACCTTCGTGTGGACAAGTAATTCCACTGGTCATGTTTGTTTTTCCTTATGGAACCTGATTGCTAAAGATGTGGGTGAGTGTGGGCCTTTCAGAGGAAGTCGATAGAGAAGGAAGGAGCCATGGTGAGCAAACCCAGGTCCCTGCACTCCTGGGCCAGCTGTGCATTTGATGGCAGGGCAGGGCCTGGTAATAAGATAGGGATAGGCACTGTTAACTCTGATCAGCTAGCAGTGACAATCTATTTCTGAAACTGGGTGATGCCTTCAGACCCTTCCTATGGGCACAGCTGAGGAGCTATAAATGCCAAGAAGCAAGGCAGACTGGCCACCAATGTGGGCAGAGAAGTCTGCCCACACAATCTCTGGGCCTAAGGGACAAGGGTTAGGTTCATCTATGCGATGGGCTTACAGTTCTACTTCTAAACCCCAAGTGGGTTTAGAAGGACCAGTGTGCACGTGTCCTGCATCAGGAATGCATTAAAGTCTGCTGGGGATTCTTGCTCCTCCCTGGAACTGTCTGCGTGGCACTCTCCACACTGTGTTAAAACTGTCATGTGTCCCCCCTTCCTTCATCTCAGTTCTCTGACAACTCTCATCTTACCTGTGCTCAATAAATCCATAATCAAGGACTGGGTGCCCCAATGTAACTGCAAAGAGGTCCCCAAAAGGGTCCAAGACATGACAGCTTAAAAGGTCCAAGCACAGGGTACAGAGTATTCTCCCAGCCCTGGGCTCTGTGGTGTGTTTACCCACTACCTGGCTAATAGAAGGACTGCACTGTGGGCCCCAGGGGACCCCCCCCCCCCCCCCCCCCCCCCCCC